GGATAAGAAAGCAGGACGCTTAGCATGACAAATCCTATGGGCCTCAAGTCGAGCTTCCTCACTAAAGCTGAACTTCCAAGAATCTAAGGAAGGACGACCCCTATCAAAGATGAAGTTATTTCTTTGTTTCCAAATCTGCCAAGCCGCAATGGTGAATATCTCCATAAAGTAGGGATTCGGAAATTGTTGCTTGGCTTGTATCAACATCTTGAAGAAATCACTTGCAAAATTCCATTGGATGCCCAGGTGCTGCCAACAAGCTCGGCTGAAGGTGCAGCTGAAGAACAAGTGAGAAACAGTTTCTTCCACATTGCTATTGCAGAGAACACAATTATAATTGTTTCCTTCCAGCTTATGTTGTTTCCTTTTTAGAATGTTTCTTGTATTTAGCGTGTCCATAAGAAGTAACCAGGAGAAGACTATGAGTTTATTGGAGCAATTAGAATCCCAAATCCAAATAAAAGGAGCTGGTGGCTGGGCGTTTCTGTATGGGAAGTTGTAGAATTTAGAGGATGTGTAGATGTTACTCCCCCAAATAAAGCACCAAGAGTCTTTTGTGCTATGATGCACTTGTATTGTTTGAATGTAATCTTGGAAATTTTGATACTCCTGAAAGGCTTGTTCAGATAGAGGAAGGTGAAACTGTGACTCCAAATTGTTGTTCAACAAGAATTGAGCTTCTAAGATCTTTTTGTGCTTAGTAAAAGAGAAAAGCCTGGGATACTTGATTTGCATAATATTATCATTCCACAGATCAGACCAGAATAATACAGTGGTGCCATCTCTCCACCAAAAAGAGACTTTGTCACTTGTTGCATGTGGGATTTCACCATTGGAATAATGTGCGTGCCAGACAAGTTTCATCCAAGGGATCTTCTTCTTGTTATAGAATTTATTCAAATGCTTAAGCAGAAGTGTTGTGTTTTGACTTCTTAGATTAATGATGCCAAGGCCCTCCTTTCCTTTTGGGTTTACAACATTTTTTCCATACAACCATAGGCTTCAGCTTAGCATTGTTGTCTGATCCTCTCCATAAACAGTGCCTTCTAGCTCTATCAATGTACTCAAGAACTGTTATTGGCACCTGCAGTGCACATTGCATATGTTGGCAGACAGGAGAGCACTGAGTTAACCAATTCCAACCTTCCTGCTTGTGTTAGAAGATTTGATGTAGTTGTTATCCTTCTTTCAGTTTTGTTCATGATGAAGCCAAAATGATCAACCCTGGATTTGGTAGTACCCATGCAGTCCTAGGTAGCTGAAAGGGAGAGACTCAAGTTTGCAACCAAAAACTCCTGCCAGTTGTTGGGCTCTCTCAAAGGAGAGATTTAGAGGGACCAAACAAGACTTCTTATAATTAACCTTCTTTGTAGAAGTTATATGTGTAGACTTTGTATGTTTCCCTTACCTCGACATAACTAATCAACAATGTACACCGGTGGCGTGAGGTCATGCACACACCTAGTTTCCAATTCCTATCTTCTCTCCTTTGTCTCTAATGCCTTCTTGCCATCACTTGCTATGTGATTACTTCTATATGTTACGCGTTACTACGCATGGTGGAATCGGGGCGGTTCAGGCCAAGTTTGCAAATGGAGTGCTAGAAATTTCTGGGAAAAAAGATGTTGAAATGTACAACTATGAAGTTCCCAAATGTTGGGTGCAGTGCCGTGGTCTCCCTAAGGCCCCGTTCGTTTGACCGGGAATGAGCCCACGAAGAATTCCAGACCGGTATCTTTACTCAATTTACAGAAGCATTCACTGGCCGGATTAATTCCTGGCGTCCTAATGCCCCAGCCGAACGAGCCCTAAAGGAATACGCGAATTCCCAATCATATGGGCAGTTGGTACTATCATTGGGGCTACACGAGAAGTTGACATGAAATTTACCAAAACATTTGGTAGAGCAAGGCTGAAGGTGGCTGCACTTATGCCTGAGGCATCCCTGAGCTTGTTGATATGGTGATCGGAGATTATATGTTTTCGAGCTTCAATTATTGGTGGAGACTGAGCAGGAATAAAAAAAAATCCTAGTCCCATTAATGTGGATGAACAGCCTAAGGATGGAGGCAGCAAAGAGCAGGAAAAATAAAGATTCTGAGAATAAAAGTGGTGGAAAATCAAAGGATGTTGCAAACTTTGGTCAAACTCCATTACCGCCAGCTACTCAGGCGCTTGGTAGTTCTGCTATGCAGCGGAAGGCTCCTTCCTCCCCACGGTTGGGCCACAGTTCAGTTCCAGCCTAGCTGGGTGCAGCACAGGTGCAGCAGGCCAATCTGCTCAAGGCAGGCGTTTGGTAGGCAAGCCAGCGGTGATGCTCAAGCAGACCGGCGACACGCAGCCCACAAAACAATATGGGTAGCAGAAAGATTTTATGGTCCACCTATACAACTCAAAAAAAAAAAAAGCCCAGAAAGACATCTATCCTCCTGCTATGAATATCACTCCAACACGGAAGAGCAAACATAATACTGCAACTGCTGCTAGTAATTCATTGGAGAAGGCAACAAAACTCAAGGCTCGCAAAAACCTGGATCATTCTAATTAAGGAAAAAGGTATGATTCCAGACCTTTCGTTTTTATCTCTTCCAGATAATGTTATTGCTAGTGCTGTTAATAGAGTAGGTATCTCTTTGGGTGCTTCTGTTAAAGCTATTGAAAAGAATAAACTCAAGTCAGCGCCATGTCAACATGGCATCCCATGTGGCAATTGCACATGTGGCAGGGTCTATGTGTGGTTGTGATGTAAATCTAACGTCAGAAATCTATATGACGAAAAAACCAATGTCATAAGGTTAATGACTTTAAAAATGCAAACGTCAAAAAATGTATTTTACGACGCACATTTTTCAACGTTTGCATTTTTGTCAACCTAATGTCATAAAATGCAACCTACGACATAAATTGCCAATATTATGACATAAGTAAAACGTCAAAACAATGGAAGATTTCTTGCAGTGGTTGTTTCCATCTACTTCTACAAATACAATTTAGTTGATCTTACGAACCACCTGTGGAAATGGGGGCCATTTTCAGAGGCAATTGGTAAGGCCATCCGTATCTAAAAATCAATTTCCAGGGATGATCCGTTAGCTAGACCCCCCCCCCCCCTAGACACCTCTTTAGAGATGATTCAGCCTCTTGGAATAAAAAGAGATGCATATAAAACTCATTTATATAGAGTAGTGAAGTTGTAGCATATATATTTCCTGTATAACTAAAACATGGTATTGACGGTGGAACAAGGAGATGACATCTAGGTTTCATAACTCGATCATGCTATTGTTGGTGGAACAAGGAGACAACATATAGGCATCTACTAGCTATGCTGTACTCGATATGGGATGAATTCACTCATATTTTATCAGATCCTGCACTACTACATGATACACAATCCATGTTGGGCTATGCGTGCCAGACAATTTAAAATCGGTAGTGATACCTATCACTGTCGGGTTATATTACTAACCGGCAGTGATCCGTAGCCCCTGGACCCAAAGTTTTTATTGAACGCTATCGGGTTACCGGCCTTGTTCAGAAACCTCGACACCAGAGCAAGGGTCTTCCCGCAATGGTTCCGAACAAGGAAATAACAATAAAAACAAACTGAGATGAATTTGTGTCCCCCTCATATTTAGTGTTACATGGGCGCCTATATTTATAGGGGATACTATGTTGGCGAGTAGATTACATGATTCCTACTGTGAACTCATGTCCAGGGAGTTTCGGGTCCTTTTGCCCTCCTGAATTCAAGCACTCCCTGAATGGGCAAAGGCTTTGTGGCATTCCCGGTGTCTCGAACGGGTGATCCTCCCTAGAGAGCTGGAGGAGAGGATCCCTCGCGTTTCCCACCGCCGCGCGGCGGCTCCCTCACTATCCGCCCAGGCTACATCCTAGAAAGAATATCTATTGTAAAACGTGCATCCTTTCAGGTGAGGTGGTGACACCCAGAAGGTATACCCTCCCTAGCAAACATCGTTAACTCGCTCGTGAGTCATGCCCACAGCCTTGTCCTCCTATCCTGGCTCTCTCACTCTCTCTCTCTCCCAGTGTCTCCTTTCTCTCTCTCCCCCCCTCTAGATCCCATTTCAAGCATGCCTCCCTGCAAGCCTCCACTCCGCTCTTTCTCCTCTTGATATCCGGCTTCAAGCATCAAGATCTTGGCGCGAGGCACGACCACAATGGGCACGAGGGCAGCCGGGGGCATCCCCGATGCATGCGTGCGGGGCTAGCTTGGGAGCCAGACAATGTTTTTGTTTCTTCTTTTTGTTTTTTGAAAACGGGCATCACTGCCGAGTGAAAAAACTGATAGTGAAACGCCAAGGTCAACACTACTGATTATACCCACTGCCAGATCGAAATCCGACAGTTATCTGGTTTCGAACCGGCAGTGATTGCTGGTTCTAAAGCGGTGCTGATTTCTGTGGCTTTCCTCGATTTGTTTTTCTTGCTTTTTGACTGAACACTAATTGGAAACTGTGTTTGAGTATGGAGTCCGGGACCAGCTACATGATGTTATATTTTTTTCCATAAGAAGATACAATCATGGATCGGCCTACATGTAGCCGAAATGTTTTCTTATATATATTTTATTTTGGAGAAATATATACCTTTATGTTTTGTATATTCTCTTATGGAACATTATTTATGTAGTAACTGTGCAAGACACGTAGTAGCGCGAAATATACTTGATGTAGCAGGAGTAATCTAAGGAAAGCATTTAATTAATATAGTTCCATTATATATATTTGATATTTTGAGAACACGTACAATAACATGAACATGATGTCACACAGTGTTACATCATCTGTCTTTACTTTGTAACTCCTCTTACATGCCACTGTATAGCGTAACATTTGAATTAGTCTCCGCATGCAGACAAACATGCATGCACACGCAGACAGATGGAGCTTATTCATATGTATATATATATGTATATGTAGTATATATACGTATATAGTAGGAGTGCGTGCCAGCATGCTGAATCTCAGGCGTGCTCATCATATTTGGGGGCCTGGCACGCATGCGAGGGGGCCATTGGGGTTGGGCACCACAATGGGTGGGAAGAAGGGAACGGGGATGGTGATGTTGGTAGAGTAATAGCAAAAGCATCTTGTGGTGCTGGTGCCTGGGGTGACCTTGACAGGGGAGAAGATGAGAGAGATGCCGCGGAGAAGATAGGCTCTCACGCCTTGAGCGAACGTGACTGTGTTATTGAAGCCGGAAGGGCACGGGTTTTGGGATGGTGCCCCGGCAGGCGGCAGCGTCGTCGGTGCGGGCGGAGCAGGTGTCGGAGACGGTGACTGGGCGCGCACTGAAGTAGCCGTCAACACGAGTGCCACGGCTAGGAACAGCAGGAGCCCAGGGGAAGCAATGGACTTGTTGGATGCCATCGCTGCTAGCTGCTGCGGATCGATGGAAATGTCAGTGTGTTTTGTGTTCTTAACCGTGTGTCTGAGCTTGAATGAAGGCCTATCGGCCATATTTATAGGCCAGCCAAGGCCTTTCCGTACGTACGTATAGGGCTTAGCTAGCGCATGTGGAGGTCATCAGTGAGGCTGCAAAATGTCTGCTCAGTCCGTGCTTGTCCGGCTGGCGGCGGCACACCAATGAAGAAACAAGAAAAGCTTAAGTTTCCAACGATGGAACGTACCCTCCTGGACATTCATTCAAGGTCGTCCCATCTTGGCTTGTTCCATACCTCCAATCTAGGGCTTCTCCGCCAGTTCACAAAAACAAAAGAGACACGATGCACAAGCGTGCGCGCATTGCAGCCATGCATGCAGTCATGCCTGCCTGCCTACGGGCTACAGCTTATCCGAGGAGTAGCCTTCTGACTTAGAGACTTGAAACTTGCAAACAAGTACATAAGACTAATGCGCCTGATCATTACTTGCTGGCATACACAAGCTAGTGCGTACGTACCTGTATACTCCTACTATCTAGCTATAGATTACACAGGACCTACGACAGGTCTAAGATCGTACTTTAGAAACCAACGAACAAGAAGATCGTAATGTAGATAGCATAATAATATAAGCATGTAAAAACTTTGTTTTACTTTGATTTGTATGTTTCAAGTTGACTGGCATTTGATGACAGAAGAAGAAATTTTACTTAGAATCATCTGTTGTGAGCTGTAGAACAGAAACCTATACAATATGCATGACTCAAATTAGTGATTCTATATAACAGATGCCTTGTAGGCATGTGAGCTTATGACCAAATCTTTATACGGATGAGAATAGCCTGCGGAAAGCAAAATTGGGACCTCTTTACATTGTTTTTTGCTTGATGAATAAATACAGGTTAGTAGCGGTGAGAGCCACCAGCACACAAACTATTTTCAGAGGCGGTCAAAAAATATTTTCGGAGATGGTCATGCAGCCTGCCTCTATCAAAACATCATTGTTAATCACAGTTAACAGAGGCGGTGCTTAATGCCTGTCTACAGAAATCGATTAAAAATAAAAAAGGGTCGTCAAGCCCGGTGCTGAGCCGGCACCAGCCCATGTTGAGCCACTGCCCGAGATCCGCCACCACCCGTTGTTGCCTGACATCCGCCTCCGCTTGAGGAATGATGGAGGTCGCCGCCGATGGAGGAGGTCGGCCTTGCGACTGTGGAGAGAGAAAAAGAGGTACAAGTACAACGACCAGATCTCATGTATCCTCGATCTCTCGGATCCGGACATGGCAAGCATGGAGGTGTAGTAGGCAGATCTTTTTGGGTCTTTTTGTAGTAGTGAACACGAAGACAGATCGCACCTTCAAATACCAGTGAAAATGACACTATCAAGTCATGTATGTATTAAAAGAGTGGTGTTATATATGATTAATATGAGAGTAATTATTGTTTTCTAGGTCCAAATTGGATTGTTCCTCGGTAAAGGTATCTATGGGCATGTTTGGGACCGCTTATATAAGGTTCGTTTATAATCTAATCAAGATTTTTTTATAAGCTGCGGTCGAAAAAAAATCTCTGGTAGAAAAAATCATAGATGTTTAGCAATCCTGATTGTGTAGCAATCAAGGGCGTAAAAGGACATATTTTCCCCTGACATTCTCGGCCATCTTCCGCAGGCCATCTTCCGCAGGAGCACCCGCTGTTCCTCGAGCGAATGAGCCTTGCGGTGTCGGAGGGAAGGCATGTAGGAGTGCCCGCCTGTGAGCGGGTTCCAGGGGCACTTGGCCCAAAAACACTTGGCAAATGCTTTGCCGAGTGTAACACTCATACAACACATGGCATTAATTTGTCGGCAAACAGTAGTTTGCCGAGTGTTTTTTATCGAGCACTCGGCCACTAGTTTGCCGAGTGTCAATAAACACTCGGCAAAAATAAACTCTCGGCAAAAAAATGTTAACGGGATGGCACGGTGACGGCGATTTTGCCGAGTGCACGATGGAAAAACACTCGGCAAAGTTTCTCAAGTTTGCCGAGTGTCAGGACTAAAACACTCGGCAACGTTTCTCAACTTTGCCGAGTGTCAAGCCCAAAACACTCAGCAAAGTTCCTATACTTTACCGAGTGTCAAGACCAAAACACTCGGCAAAGTTTCCAAACTTTGCCGAGTGTCCAGCAAAAAACACTCGGCAAAGTTTCTAAACTTTACCGAGTGTCAGGGCCATAACACTCGGCAAAGTTTAGACACTTTGCCGAGTGTCACGCTCAAAACACTCGGCAAACAAGCGCGCAACGACTAGATTTTATGGTCACTTTGCCGAATGACCATTAGAATACACTCGGCAAAGAAGGTTCCTCAGATAACGAGAAAATGGCCTCTTCACGAAAGTGATTTTTGCCTTGACACTCGGCAAAGCGACCAAGACCCCCCCGTTTCTTACTAATCTGTCACGTATAACGGACCCCTCTCAATTCACAATAAACCATCACAATTCACAATAAAACATCATCACAGGCATAATTATATGTCACATGCATAATAAACCATCATCATAATTCACAATAAACCATCATCACAAGTCACAATAAATCATCATCACAATTTACAATAAACCATCATCACAAGTCACAACTGAGTCACAATAAGCCACAAATGCAAATGCAATCACTGCGGAGGCCCTTGGAACCTCTGCGACAAATCCGGGTCTTGAGACTGATTATTTGATACCGCCGATTGATTCTGCACAAAAGAGAAGTATTCAAAACAGTGTTAGTTTCCTTTTTAAGTTGCAGGAAAATGATAATAGATTATCATGTTGAATATAACAAAATTAGCAAGTGCTTTATAAGATATATAACTGGCTTATTTAAACGTTTGTCCAACTGCCATAAATACACTAATCTGTTTTACATTTGTTTTGATTAAAAAAATGATGTACGTGTCCTGGCAGATTCCATTACCATAACCCATGATGATTATGTACCTCACACATTGCACACGGAGCAAATGACAGAGCAAGCTGGACTTGGACTGCATTGGTCTGGACATTCAGGCAAGTTGCTTATAACCCTAGCATTAATTGGTCTGGACACGGAGCAAATGACAGAGCAAGTTGCTTATAATCTGGACTTGGACTGCATTGGTCTGGATTGCATTGGTCTGAACAAGGGCTCTACTGGCACCTTCACAAACACAATCCACAAAGGCATGACCATACTACACTAGCACAATGACACAAACACGCAGCCAAGAATAATTATCCATCACATGCACATACTCAACGCGAATTGCAGGAAAGGGGAATTACCACCGCTGCAATGTACTAGCAGATGAATAGCCAAGTGAGGACTCCACAGTTAGGGTTGATGATGAGGACTAGCAAATCAGTTCAGCTCAGGGCATATGTCACCAGGGGCACAAGATCCAACCCTAGCCGTGCTAAGGCGATGCTGCACTGCAGAAACAAAGAGGGGGCAGTGCAGTAGAGATGAAGAGAGGGGCGACTGCAGCAGTAGGTGGAGAAGGGAGGAGCAGCTCTGCAGACTGCAGGACAGGGAGAAGTGGGGAAAATGCGTTGATTGCTCCAGTGCAGTAGCTCTTGTCTCCCTATACAAATCATCTCTGGGTCTGGGGTTTGAAATATTAATTCAAAGGGTTCCTGCTGTTCCTGTGCCTGACAATCTTCACAGCAATGGTGATCCCAAGGAACGGCAGCAGCAGCAGGAGCAGCGGTAGCAGCACTGCATACCAGCTGGGAGATCTGGTGGAGATGGCCAAGGTCAACATGACGGTAGCGCTGAGGCACGAGGCACTTGCAGCGTGTTTCCTGCTGCCACCATCTGCTGCTGCTGCTTCAGCTGCTTTGTCTGAAGATGGTCAGCAGATCCCAACCAGCTGTCCACCCAACACTTCCTCCTCTCACCATCATGCCATCCAGATCCAGGTACTAAATTACTAGACTATTTTTTTTGTTTGTTAACCAGGCCAGTAGTATGTATACTCTCTAGTCACAAAAGCTAGCATTGACTCTTACATCATGACTCATGAGCTATATCAGCATAGCTAGCTAGCCGGTCCAGCTTCTAGCAAAGCTAGCATGCATTCCATTTGGATCATGCTTTTGTGTGATGATGAGCAAGCATGCAGCACCCCAATTCTCTAAGTCCGGGTCTTGAGGCTAACATCTAAAGTTCTCTAATTCCAAGTATTCAATCTGCAGTATAAGGTGTCAAGTGACTCACAGGAGTAGTTGTGGGTGGCTGAGGTGAAGCGAATAGCATCGGTGGTGGTGGCAAAGGTTGACCCATACTCGATGCAAAATTCTGCATGTATTGGAACATTTGGTCCATCCTCGACCGATTTTCTTCCTCCATCCTCTACCGCTCGGCCTCTATCCTCTGCTGAATCCTCTCCTCCATCCTCGCCTCCAACTCCTCCTGTTGCTTCGTTTCTGCTTCCACCCGGGCCTATAACATTTCATCCCAATGTTACAATGCAAAGCTAAAGTACGTAACAATCAACGAACGATGAATAAAACAGAAATAACCTGGAGAGCCTCCATCTGGAACTGTGTAGCGGTTGGCTGTGGGCGTATCGCCGGGCTCGAGCTCGTGCTCCTTGCTCGAATCTGGGAGAGAGTGGGAGTAGAGGCAGTGTCGAGTGTACTGTCACCAATCCAGTACCGGCCATGCTTCTTGCCGCCTCCCACCCTCATCATGATTTCTCCATCAAGATCCTCGGTGCTCGGATCGAACTGTGGCCCATGAACCTGCCTTGCCATCGCTGTGTACTCACTGACGTGGCTGTAGATGCTGGGATCGCTGTACGCCTCGGGCGGGTCCTCCGGGTTGAAGTCGATGTTTGTCGTCGCCTTGCCCTTTTTGGACAGAACCCATGCCTTGAACTAGGAGCAAGGCTGGCCATCATATGACGACGACTATGGCAAAAATACAAAATGATTAGAAATTATACAGAATTGAGTGTTAGAATAA